CGATCCCGTTCCCTTTCCACGAATGTGACCTACCGAATTAGAATATTTACCGGGTTTGTAATAACATGAGTAACACGACGGGTGCGACATGTGAAGCAGGATCTGCTTACCCCTTCGGAGCACCTGAGATCACTCCAAGTTTTTAGTGGGTTTGTGTTGCTTAGTCTTTAGTTTGCTGTGTTGTGTCTTGTGTACTATTGTTTGTTTGTCTGTCTTTTTTTTTAGCCATGGCATTGTCAATTTATTTTCGAGATATGAGTTTGAATGTCCCTCTGGTATCTTTCGCCCCTCTTTGATAGTTTATATGTTTCCCTCGGTTTTGGTTTGTGACCCTAATATGTTTTTGCTTAATCGATTTATGACTTTTGCACAACGGTATACTACTGTGCCTTTATTTGTATAACAATATTTTAAAGCTTGCTTGATTTACCTCAACGAAATAAGGTCTTACTGAAAATTTTAAAAATGAAAGTAGAAAGTCAAATAACAAAAAATAATGAACTCCGAGGAAAATTCAAAACTGAAAGTCCCTAATCAAATGGCAAAATCAAAAGCTCAATCACACAAAACGAATCGATTACAACTGTCATATTCCTGACTTCGTACATGCATTTTCTTATGACGAAAATGGTGGAATATACTTGTGTTTATAGCTAGCTTAGACTTACTTGTATGACAGTTGCATACAATTCCATTATATTGACGACGATGTGTAAACGAAACAAACAGACATAAAAGGTAAAAATGTCAAAAATAGGGGTACAGCAGTCAACATTGTGCTTTAATCTTAATTACTATAAAAACAAACAAATATGATACATAATAAGGCATATAGTATTTCTTATTTTTAACGACTTTTGAGTGATTTTTGTTCTTGTTATTACAGTTTATTCTGAAATTGAAGTGACTATCGATATCTGTTTGAGCTACCAAATTGTTATAATTGAAGTGACTATGGACAGCTGTTTAAGCCTCTAAACTGTTTTTTATTGAAATGACTATCGACAGATCTTTGAGCTACCAAATTGTTATACTTGAAGTGACTAACGACACATGTTTAAGCCACCAAATTGTTATAATTGAAGTGACTACCGACAGATTTTTGAGCTACCAAATTGTTATATGGGAGTGACTATCGACAGATGTTTACGCCACCAAATTTTCATCATTGAAGTGACTATCGTCAACTGTTTTAGCCACCAAATTGTTATAATTGAAGTGACTAACAACAGCTGTTTGAGCTATCAAATTGTAATACTTGAAGTGACTGTCAAAAGCTGTTTGAGCCACTATATTGTTATAATTGAAGTGACTATCTTCAACTCTTTTAGCTGATTGGGTTCCATTAATATATCACTCGGAACTAGAAATTAAAGAAACAACAGACACGGCTTCCTTCGCCTCATTATTAGACTTATACCTCGAATATGACATACACGGTCGTCTAGTACCAGAATCTATGACAAACGAGACGATTTTTATTTTGAAATTATCAATTTCCCTCACCTTAGTAGCAATATACAAACTTCACCTGCATATGGGATATACATTTCCCAACTTATTCCGTATTCAAGAGCTTTCAACTCCCACTCAGACTTTGTAAAACGTCACCGGTGTCTGAGCAGAAAGTTGATGAACCAGGGGTATGTCAAAGAACGCCTTGTCCTTTTTCTTAAAAAGTTCATCGAAAGGTACCAAAACCTTGTTGATAAATATTCCGTATCAACGTCACAAATAATACACGGTGGTCTTGAAGTATAGATTATGAGTACTGACGTTGTTTATCATCTAAATAACGTGTTAGATTCTTTAATTTTTCTTTATGGACGTGTTATATTCTTTTATTTGTCTTTATGGACGTGTTATATTCTTTTATTTGTCTTTATTGACGTGTTATATTCTTTTATTGGTCTTTATGGACGTGTTATATTCTTTTATTTGTCTTTATGGATATTACTTTTACTGTTTAGTCTGTTTTGTTTGGTGATATCCATTTGACGCGACTCTGTACTTATACATCCCGTCATTGTGTTATTGTTCTATGATAATTTTTGTACTCTTGTCTTTCATTTTTGCTAATGTGCTTTATTTTTCTGCCTTTTTGAGTTTCTTTTGTACATATGACGTTGTTCTGTTCTTAAACATCCGGCCATTGTATTATTGTGCTTTTATAAAAAAAATTGTATTCGTGTCTTTCAATTTTGCTAATGTGCTTTGTCTGTATCCCTTTTTATATTTCTTTGATACATATGACGTGGCTCTGTACTTGTATATCCCACCATTGTGTTATTTTGCTATTGTAAATTTTTGTATTCTTGTCTTTAATTTTAGCTAAAATATCTTGGCATTGCACAAGGTCATGTTTTTCTCTGACTGTTTACATTAAATTCATTAGATGTTGGATGTGTACGGATTGATAATTTAGTCTTATATGTATGATTTTTTATTAATTGTTAGTGGCTTTGAACTAGCTGTCAGTAACTGCGAGAACTCTCAGATCTGTACTTAGTGTCTTTTTGTTGTTTGGATGTACAAGTACCCGGCCACATCCACTTGTATTGGTGTCCTACTGATGAGTTAAGCCTCTTTCAACTGATTTTTATAGTTCATTCTTATGTTGTACTGTTACACCACTGTCCCAGGTTAGGGGAGGGTTGGGATCCCGCTAACATGTTTAACCCCGCCACATTCTGTATGTATGTGCCTGTCCCAAGTAAAGAGCCTGTTATTAAGTGGTTGTCGTTTGTTTATGTGTTACATATTTATTTTTCGTTCATTTTTTGTACATAAATTAGGCCGTTAGTTTTCTCGTTTGAATTGTTTTACATTGTCACTTCGGGGCCTTTTATAGCTGACTGTGCGGTATGGGCTTTGCTCATTGTTGAAGGCCGTACGGTGACCTATAGTTGTTAATTTCTGTGTCATTTGGTCTCTTGTGGGCAGTTGTCTCATTGGCAATCATACCACATCTTCTTTTTTATATTTGTCTTTATGCCTTTTTGTGCTTCTTTGTTGCATATTTTTTTTATACTGATTAAGATTATAACATAATGTTGACTGCTGTACCCCTATTTTTGACATTTTTACCTATTATGTCTGTTTGTTTTGTTCACACATCGTTGTCAATATAATGGAATTTGATGCGACTGTCATACAAGTAAGAGGTTTAGCTAGCTATAAAACCAGGTTTCGTACACCATTTTCTACATAAGAAAATGCCTGTACCAAGTCAGGAATATGATAGTTGGTATTCATTCGTTTGATGTGTTTGAGCTTTTGATTTTGCCATTTTTGATTATGAACTTTCCTTTTTTTAATTTTACTCGGAGTTCAGTATTTTTGTGATTTTACTTTTAAGCCACCAAATTTTTATAATTGACTATCAACAGTTGATTCAGCCACCAAATTGTTATAATTGAAGTGACTATCGACATACGTTTGAGCTACCAAATTGTTATACTTAAAGTGATTATCGACAGATGTTTGAGCCACCTAAATGTTATAAATGAAGTGACTATCGACTGAAGTTTGGGCCATCAAATTGTTATACCTGAAGTGACTACCGACATATGTTTGACAGATGACCTACTAAATTGTTATAATTGAAGTGACTATCGAAAGCTTTTTGAGCCGCCAAATTGTTATGATTGAAGTTACTATCAACAGCTGTTTGAGCCACCAAATTCTTATAATTAAATGGTTTTTTTTTTGTATTGCAAGTGGGTTGTATGTACAAAGGACAACTACATCAAGCTGGTGATGAATGGGACGATGGTTGTGATTTTCATTGTAAATGTGTGGATAGTAAAACTGGACGATATCAGTGTTCTCCACAGTTAGTATTTAAGTTTATTGTATACTTCTATCTAATATCTAGCGAACGAAAATGAAGAATTGTAAACATTCATTTATGCAGGAATTCGGGGAAATCTGGGACAAAAGTAAATATATAAGTTTTAATATCAATAAAGGCGTTTTCTAAAGGAACTGTGTGGAATACAGACATTGAATTTGACGCCATATTTATAGAAAGAAAAGAAACCCCAGATGATCCATAGGTGACATGTTGTTAAGTATAATTTCCAACCCTCTCAAATGCATGAACTCTATTTTTTTACCACCTTTACTGCACTAAATGTGAAATTCGACAATTAAAGTCTCTTCAATGATGCACGATAATAAGGTATTTGAAAAGCCACACCTTATCAACAAAAATGAAGAACAGATAAACAAAAAACAACGTAACTAGCTCGATAGCTTTATGTGTCATGACCCGTGTACCTTTTAGAACACACACAACAAAGTGCAGTCATTTGAACTTTCTTCAAAGTCGATTCATGTCAGGCAAGTTATCGACAATGTCTTCTTAGAGATACTCATGTTTTAAAATGATGTGTTTGTGCATTACCATACTTGTCAAGAACACTATTTCATTTGAAGGTGACAAAAGTTGTGCAGAGTTTACTTACAGTAATGGTGTAAAAAATCTGTGTGTTCTAAAAATATATGTCGACAGTTCGAGGAGTCAGTGTAGGTTGTTAACCACTCTCTTAGTTATAAACATAAGTAACTACAATAACTACAATTATGGACAAATGTATGTTTCAATAAATAAAGGCAACAGTGGTATACCGCTGTTCGAAATTCATAAATCGATTGAGAAAAAAAACAAATCCGGGTTACAAGCTAAAACTGAGGGAAATACATCAAATATAAGAGGAGAACTACGACACAACAGAAACACAACATTAAAATGTAACACACACAGAAATTAACTATAATATAACAATGGCCATTTTCCTGACTTTTTATTGTAGAGTTCCCCGTGTTAAACTGAAATATTTAAATCTAGGAAAGAGCAGTTATTACTTTATATTTGATTAGTTTAAAGTAAGTTCCATTAGAGCAGAAGGCTATCAATGAGCTGCAGCAAATATATCAGCATTCCGGTTTACCAAACGATCATTTGATTAAATAGGAAAACGTTTATTAGATAGGACATGTCTTCTCAATTCAGATGTCCACAGTTCACAAGACTTCCTGCTCCCTGCGAACTTATAACTGTATCCGGTCAATGTTGTAAAAGACTGCAATGTAGAACTCCAACGACAGTAGCCCCCGGTGTTGTAACTCCTACTCCCATCATACCAACACCAGATCCCCACCCTAGATGTACTGATGTTTTAGATAACTGTGATGATTATGGCCAGTCTGTATGTCAGCCACCATATGATGCCTGGGCAAGGAGAAATTGTCAACATTATTGTGGAAATTTGTGTGGTATGAACTACTCATTGTGTTATTGTTCTATGATAATTTTTCTATTCTTGTTTTTCATTTTTAATAATGTGATTTGTCTATATGACTTTTTGTGTTTCTTTGATACATATGACGTGGCTCTGTACCTATACATCCCGTCATTGTGTTATTGTGCTACTGTAAATTTTTGTATTCTTGTCTTTATTTTTTGCTTATGTGCTTTGTCTATATGCCTTTTTGTGCTCCTTGATTACATATTTGTTTGTGTTATAGTGATTAAGATAACACAATGTTGACTGCTGTACCCCTATTATTGACATTTTTACCTATTATAAAATTGAGAATGGAAATGGGGAATGTGTCAAAGAGACAACAACCCGACCATAGAACAGACAACAGCAGAAGGTCACCAACAGGTCTTCAATGCAGCGAGAAATTCCCGCATCCGGAGGCGTCCTTCAGCTGGCCCCTTAACAAATATATATACTAGTTCAGTGATAATGAACGCCATACTAAACTCCAAATTGTACACAAGAAACTAAAATTAAAAATAATACAAGACTAACAAAGGCTAGAGGCTCCTGACTTGGGACAGACGCAAAAATGCGGCGGGGTTAAACATGTTTATGAGATCTCAACCCTCCCCCTATACCTCTAGCCAATGTAGAAAAGTAAACGCATAACAATACGCACATTCATTTGTACTATTGTTTGTTTGTCTTTTTGTTTTTAGCCATGACGTTGTCAGTTTGTTTTCGATCTATGAGTTTGACTGTCCCTCTGGTATCTTTTGTCCCTCTTAAATAAGATTCCATGTACAACTTTATTCACATTGCAATCTTTGATAAAAGAGAGGCGAAAGATACCAGAGGGACATTCAAACTCATAGATCGAAAATAAACTGACAACGCCATGGCTAAAAAAGAAAAAGACAAACAGACAAATAATAGAACACAAGACACAACATAGAAAACTAAAGACTAAGTAACACGAACCCCACTAAAAACTGAGGGTTATCTCACGTGCTCCGGAAGGGTAAGGAGATCCTGCTCTACATGTGGCATACGGTAAATAACCTTCATTCGGTAGATCACATTCGTGAAGAGGGGACGGGATCGTAGTTACGACATAAGGAACATATCCGGTATCATCTGTGAAACGGATATTCCATAATGGTCAACCATCTCTTGATGGCGTCCGTAAAATTTACGAAGGGATGATTTCATATAATTACATATTTATATTTGTAATTTCAGCTGATCCAGCTTGTGTTGACAAGAACCCCACTGCCTGTGCAGAAATTGGGCCAGGTGTTTGTACTTTGCTAATTGACTTTGCCAGAGAAAATTGTGCCAGTCAATGTAATATATGTCCTCAACCTTCAGTACCATCATTACAACTGACAAGTATGTTATCATTACAATGTTTAACTTATGTCCTAACCCTTCAGTACCATCAGTACAAGTAAAAAGTATGTTATTATTACAATGTTTAACTTATGTCCTAAACCTTCAGTGCCATCAATACCAGTCACAAGTATGTTATCATTACAATGTTTAACGTATGTCCTAAACCTTCAGTACCATCAATACAAGTAACAAGTATGTTATCATTACATTGTTTAAATTAAGTCCTAATCCTTTAGTACCATCAATACAAGTAACAATTATGCTATCATTACAATGTGTAATTTATGTCCTAAACCGTCAGTACCATCAATACAAGTAACAAGTATGTTATCGTTAAAATGTGTAACTTATGTATTAAACTTTCAGTACAATCAGTATAAGTTACAAGTATGTTTTCATTCAACAATGTTATTTATGTCCTAAACATTCAGTACCATCAATACAAATAATTAGAATGTAACCATTTCATTATGTAAATTATGTTCTAAACCTCCAGTATCGTCAATACAAGTAACAAATATGTTACCATTACATGGTGTAACTTATGTCCTAAACCTTCAGTACCATCAGTACAAGTAACAAGTATGTTATCACTACAATGTGTAACTTTTGTCCTAAACCGTCAGTACCATCAGTATAAGTAACATCTATGTTACCATAACATTGTTTAAATTATGTCCCAAACCTTCAGAACCATCAGTACAAGTGACAAGTGTGATATCGTTACAATGTGTAACGTATGTGCTAAACCTTCAGTACAATCAGTACAAGTAACAAGTATGTTTTCATTCTACAGTGTTATTTATGTCCTAAACCGTCAGTACCATCAGTTTAAGTAACAAGTATGTTATCATTGCATTGTTTAAATTATGTCCTAAACCGTCAGTATCATCAGTACAATTAACAAGTATGTTATCGTTACAATGTGTAACTTATGTGCTAAACCTTCAGTACAATCAGTACAAGTAACAAGTAAGTTTTCATTCAACAATGTTATTTATGTCTTAAACCGTCAGTACCATCAGTATAAGTAACAATGATGTTATCATCACAATGTGTAACCTATGTCCTAAACCTTCAGTACCATCAGTACAAGTAACAAGTAAGCTATCATTACAATGTGTAATTTATGTCCTAAACATTCAGTACCATCAGTACTAGTAACAAGTATGTTATCATTACATTGTGTAACTTATGTCCTAAACCGTCAGTACCATCAATACAAGGAACAAGTTTGTTATCGTTAGAATGTGTAACTTATGTCCTAAACCTTCAGTACCATCAGTACAAGTAACAAGTATGATATCGTGACAATGTGTAATTTATGTTCTAAACCTTCAGTATCACCAGTTGGAAAATACAGCCCTGTAGTTTTTTGTGATATAGGTTGTTGAATGTTATCCATATGCAATTTTAAGCAAATTTAAATATAAGAAACAGTGAAACAACTGCTTCACACTTTTAGTTATGTTCATTCAGGAATTATGTATTGATGCAAAGAAGGTTTGTTACTTAAGATATAATACATTCCATAACATTTTATATCATATGTTTTAAGCACCATCACCAAATGGTTTTGTACTGTTGATGAAGGGTGTGACTGGAGTAGGAACCTATCCTCCTGGTATTACTGATTTGTTTGAGTTATGGAATTCAACTAAGACCATTAATGAATTCCAACCAGGAGCCAACTCACTGACACCAAACTTCCCTGGACACTATAAACCAGGATTGTCTAACAACTGGCCAGTACTTTGTTTAGATAAGGTATAAAAACAGTCCCACATAGAGAGTGCATTTGTGTTGTTAAGAACTCTTACCCTTTGTTAGCCTATTGAGCATATCTTGGTAAAATTATACTTGCCTATGTTTTAAGTTAACAGTACCATATTGACTCCTTGTGAATGTTATTTTTCTGCGAAAAAAATTCACAAAGCTTTAATAATTTTTAAGATTGTTTTGTCTTCATGCAAAGTTGATCTCTTTTGTCCAAATTTAGCATATTAAAAGAAAAAAGACAACAGTAGTATACCGCTCTTCAAACGAGTTATTATAGTTATAATTCTTTTTGAATTCTGTACGACCTTTAAAAATTGGACTGTTATTGGCTTATATCCTTTACTGAAAGAGCATCTCAGTCACTAAAAGGTCATGAATGGGCATACAAGGCAAACTCAATAATAACTTCAATAATGTAATTCTAGAGTTTTTTTTTCATGAAACGAAAAAGTAGGATGTCAATTTGGCTAGAATATAAAATGTTTTGAAATGGTTTCACAATTCAATGTTGTATAAGAAGACTAACGAATTTTGCTATTTTTGCAAGTTTTTTTACCAGATGCACGAGCCTTGATAGACAATCAATACAGTAAAACGTTAACAGTACGTAAAATCTAAAGCAAATTTATTCACGTATACTATACATTATATGCATCACTGCTTTAAAATTCAACAGGAGCTGGATTCTTTCAAATAAATTAACAAAACAATTTGCCAAAACGATTGGTCAAATTTGACTTATGACATTATTTTATTGATGTTTATTTTTTTAAGACTTAGTCGGACCTTTAGAAATGTAATAAGTAATGGAACATTGAAAATTGTAGAAAATATAGTACAGAAATACAAATAAAAATATATTTCAGGTCAGGGTATCTATATACAAAATTGGTGTAGAGAAAGTTTTCATTTTGTTCAATGCTACGGGAGCAGATAAGATGAATTGGTTTACACCTAGCAGAATCATAGATTCATCTTGGGTGGATTTACAATCTGCAACTAAACAGTACTTTGCAATGTCTCAGTAAGTATTTATACATTTGATATGGTTTCAACTTTGTTGATCATAAATTAGTGGTAAGTGGAATGTACAACCTGTATATACTGCATGATGCACTCTTTTCATGACTTTGTAGGTATTTACATTGAACAACAAGGTTGCAATGAATAGAACATTTGAACCCTCGAGAGATTTATTCCAAATCACAATGAACACAATTTTACGTAGAATCCTCAGTAAAATAAAACAAAATAATTAGCTTTTTTTGGGCAATAGTCTAATTTATCTACGAAAATAAACAAAAAATATTTCAGAGACCCAGATTTTCTCAGAGAATTCTACGCCAGTCAAAATGCTGATAAATCCAAATGTGATTCAACTGGTTGGATGTTTATATCTACAGCAAACAGATGTTTTTTGGAAAAGGATAGGAAACCAGCTTTCTATTATGCTCCAGGACAGACCTCAGCTCACTGGGGATATAGTAAGTCTTTATTCAAACATTAACCAATGGAATTTTATTTGAAAATTGTGCTTGTTAAAAATATTTCTTTACAGAATGTCAACTTTATCCAAAATATTTGTTTTGCCATCTTCATTTGATTACATATTCTACCCCATGAAAAATATTGTTAAGACAAAATGGTGACAAATATGATTCTTTCATTCTTATTTATCAGACTGAATACATCAGCTCAATGTTTGATATTCTTCTAATAAAATCAGTATCAACATCATAAATGCCATTTTTCCTAGATTATAGACTAGGTAAAGTTCCACTGAGATATAACATGAACTTTGATTCTATGTTTCTGTGTAAATATACTTCTAGATGATTGGATCATTATATTCGTTATTTCTTAGGTACTAAGTAGCCATACAACGAAGAATGTATTATTGACATCCAGTTTAATATCAAATAATGTTACTAGTACCTCTAAAATTGTATAGACTTAAGCATTGTTAAGCGAACGTGATGTTACTTATCATAAACTTTTGACCTCTAGCCTTTACATTAAGTAATGGTTAGAAAATACATCAAATAAAACTATTATAAACTTAATCCAAATTTCATATTATAATTTTAGAAATTTAAATGTGACGTCACTTTTTGTGGCGTTGATACATTAGTTAGACGCACAGTTCATTATTCTATTGTGCTGTATTTGTGCTCTGTCCTAATATGATTTAAAATAACAAAATAAATAAACTAACGGAAGAATTATAAAAGTAACATGTTATATGGCAATATGCTCGAACAAAAATATCAGCCATTTGCAATTACTTTAAACACAGGTAAATGAAAATAATTTTGTTGTTAGGTATACGTGTACAGTTCAAATAGAGAAAGGGAATATTTTTACAAATTAAAATAATTTTGATGTTCACAGTCCGAACTGAAAATTTATAGTATATCAAAGCTGATATAAAGACCAGATATAACCATGAATAACATTATGTAACAGAAAAGCATAACAATTAGTATCAACAGGTCAAATAAACAAGAAAGTATGATTTGAGAGTACTCGCAGTTACTGACAGCTAGTTAAAAGCCAAAAACAATTGATAATAAAAAAAATCATGCATCGTAGTCTGTTTTTATGTATGTTGGCGTTTGTTCTTGTGGCAGTTCAGGGTTTCTGTTGTTCCGTTTTTTTTTCTTATTATAGTTGATACTTACATCTACAAAATAACAATGAGGGTCGGTTGAAAACAAAACTTTACGACAAAAGAGATGATTTAAGCTTCCCAATTGTGAACTTTCCAGCGCCTGCATACGGAGTACATATCTTCGAATTGAAACGATATTCACGGGATTGTATTTCCTGTCATGATTTTTTGATAGAGGGTCGCTGCTCACTAGGAAGCTTTTAAACCAAGAGTTACAACTGGCGAAGTTCAAATCATCCCTTCGTAATTTTTACCGTTATGGAATATCCGTTTCACTGATGTTCCTAATGTCGTAACTACAATCCCGTTCCCTTTTCACGAATGTAAACTACCAAATTATATTATTTACCGGGTTGGTAATAACATTAGCAACACGACGGATGCCACATGTGGACCATGATCTGCTTACCCTTCCGGAACACCTAAGATCACCCCAGTTTCTTAGTCTTTAGTTTTCTATGTTGTGTCGTATGTGTATATTTGTCTGTTTGTCTTTATCTTTATAAGCCATGGCGTTGTCTGTTTATTTTCAATCATTGAGTTTGAA